CTTAGCAAACACTGCTCTGTGTCAAAATACGAGGCCAGACGATTATCGGGGTGGATTTGAGATCCAGCACTTTTCCGTGGGTCATAAACTTTAATGCGCACCATGAGAGCCAAAATAAGTCAAACCAGGTCAAGATAAGTGTAAGCGAAAACCTGAAGATTTCAATATGGTTTCAGCATGAGGAATAAGCCATTGCACAACCTCCACTAATCTACCACTTTACCTCATACCTCCCATTCATACACATTCATACTGAGTGCAGATGGATTTAGTGATGGGTGGTAGCATTAGTTGGCCAGGCTTTCTGTCACCCGAGTAAAAGGGAAAGAAATGTACTCCACCTACAGGATGTGACCTCAGTGGAATGCGCTTTTGATATATTTGTGGAACAGGAGTGATGATAGGCCTACACATGCATGTACACCAGTGTTGTTGGGTAAGTTACTCAAAAAGTAATCCACTACAACTGACTAATTACTACTTTAAAATTGCAATTTTGTTACATTATTGATTACTGCATTTAAAAAGTAATCAGATTACTAATTACTTTACTTTCAAGTTACTTTCAAGTTTACTTTACTTTTCAAGTTATCAAACCTAAAAAAAATACACTACAAAATGAAACTCATAGTTCTTTCAGTAATTTAATATTGACTGAAAAATTACCTAAGTATCAAAACAGCAACTTGAATGATCACTTGTATTTTTTCCTGATAACAGTGAAAAGAACTTTAACTGTTCCGTCATTTTTAATTGTACATATAAGATTAATACATCATTTGAAAATGTAAAAGGTCTATTTTTATTTGTATGCACCCGCAATATCAAAAACATTATGCTTTTGCAAAATAAAGAAAACAACAGGGTTATACCCAATTCTGATGTACACACATGAACTGGTCATATACAGGTGCATCTCAATAAATTAGAATGTCGTGGAAAAGTTCATTTATTTCAGTAATTCAACTCAAATTGTGAAACTTGTGTATTAAATAAATTCAATGGCACCTGTAAACACTTTCTGTCCTCATAAAGCACACAGAATGAGGTTATGGTGATTTAATAAAGAAACTAAGGTTATGATGTGATAGACAAAAATGTTCCGAAACACACACACATTCCTACCATCTCTCTTGGAGCTTTCTGAAGAGCTGAGGGGAAGTGAGGAGCTTCCTGGATGCTAAAATAAGGGTCTTAAACGGGAGAGAGGAACTGAGCTTTCTCAAGCAGCCATACCTCCTGAAGCTTGTCAGACAATGCAGAAAGCACTCGACCCCAGAACTGCAGGTCTATCCCGGGCGTGTGGTTATCCAGCACCATGGGCAACTGATCACAGAAAGAAAAAGAGACGTTTGAGTTTACATTAACCTTATGTGACAAATGTGTACAATGCGAGAAGAAATAGAATGTAGCCAAATAATGATTTAATTAATTTGAGTACATAATTCTAAACATTTTTAATACCTTTACATTATGATTGTCTTGAATGTCAAATTAAAATACAGTATATATACACCACTGTTAAAAGGTTAGTATGATTTATTTAATGTTTTTGAAAGAAGTCTCTCATGCTCACCAAGGCTGCATTTATTTATTTGATCAAAATAAAAAAATAAAAAATAGAAATATTGTAAAATATTATTGCAATTTAAAATATTTTTCTATTTGAATGATGATTATTATTATTATTAATATTATTATTTATTTTGTTTCTTTCTTTATTTTTATTTATCTATATCAGTTGTGCTGTTTATTTATTTATTTATTTATTTTAAACTGATTTTGTTTTGGGATTTTTGATGAATAAGCGTGCATAAGAAATCTTTTGTGACATTCTAAATGTCTTTACTGTTGATCAACTTAATGTATCCTTGCTGGACAAAAATATTCATTTATTTTGCAAATGGATGCTAAACACGATTTCTAAACTACACAGGGCCCTGAACATTTAAAGGTTTTGAATATCTGTGCGTTAGAAAAAAGTTTTTAAAGTACATTTTACAAAAGGCCATTCATTTGCATTAATGTAGTCATTGGTTTACTGGATGTTGATTTATTATTGATTATTTATTTAATGATTTATTGCTTATTGCTTAATAACAATTACCTATGATAAAAGAGAAAAGATGTTCCTTTTTATTGCAAATGACTAATTGGTACATGTTACTCCGAAGAGAGAAAAATATATATAATATAATAACTTGCTCTTCTCTGAAATTACTTTCTACTGACACCACTACAGGCTGTATGGGCAATTTGATAATGTTAAGCAAAAGCCAAAAAGCTATCTGAGCAATATTCTTGATTTATTGTGGTACATAAGGTCCACTTTTCACCATCCAGTCAAACACCCAAAAAATAAACTCCAACCTTAAATGTTTTCTCATTGATTATCCTGATTCATTCTGAACTACCGTATTGGCCCGAATATAAGACGACCCTGATTATAAGACGACCCCCCTTTTTCCAGATGTACCTTTTGGAAAAAGGCTTTTTAAAAACCAAATCTTGTTTTTTCTCAGTAAAACACATTTTGTCTTCAATTATTTTCATATTGCATATTTTTCCTATTTTAATTTTTGTTTTGAAAGTATGGTAAAAACTGGTAAAATGTACCAACAATCACATTTAAAAAATATACACTTTTTGATATACCATTAAAAAAAACAAAAAAAAAATAGGTAGCCCATCTGAATTAGGACATTTAGGCTATCCATCTAATAGTAGCCTACCAAAATCTTATTAACAGTAGAAGTTAAATCTTACTGTAGTCTTCAAATCTGGGTACTGTCTTACGTTTTAAAATCATAAAGAGAGTTTGGTCCCATCAGGCTAATGTGACAGTCACGACTCATGCAGCTGTAAAGTTTTCTTTTTCTTTTGTTTTTACTCGCGATCTTTACAACACGCATTACATTACGTATTTCATGGCACACTCGTTTTATGCGTATTTGGCGCCACCTATTGTTGTAGGTGTATTATTGACATGTCAAAGTCTAGACCCTGAATATAAGACGACCGCGTTTTTTCAGATGTATTTCCAAGAAAAAAAACATTGTCTTATATTCGGGTCAATACGGGTATTACAAAAGTAAGATACAGTAGGTTGCGATCAGAGTCCCATGTTGACTTGAAAGCATTGGGCTTACGAAATTATGAAGCAGATGAAAGCTGATGTAATGACTGTGTTTAATCATTGCACAGTGATTTGGTGTCTAAGACACAAGTATGTGATGCAAGATGAGCAATAACTTTTTCCCGAAACTTAAACATCATCACGAGAGAGAGAAAAACTGCGTAAAGAACAGCAACTGCTTCCACAGCCGTTCTCATCACCAGAGGGTGTGTCTTCCTTAATCCCATTAGTAAATGAGGCCATGCAGTGTGTCATCATGCTAACACTACCATCTGCTTCAGTCTAACCCTAGGTAAACCTCACAGAGACAGAGAGAGAGACTTAGAAAGAGAAAGCTGATAAGTAGTGTTGTTTCAGCGGTATTCATAGGCCTTCAAAAATCTAACAGCAGGAAAGTAGGTCTGGCTCATGATCCACATTCTTAATTTAGTGCACCACCTGCGAACTCTTATGATGTGTTTAGAACAGCTTTTCCATAATTCCAAGCATGTGACACATCATGTGACATTCATGGTCGCCGTGATTTTGCCAAGTAAGACATGTTCCTGGATCAACATCTTTTGTTGATCCTGGATCAACATAACTGTCCAAAAATATAGACTTAACCCAATCCCTACCCCTAAACCTAACCCTACCCATAATTTATTCCTAAAAACAGTGTGAAATGATAGCTGATTAACAAGGGTGTAGAAGCACCTAACCCTGATCATAAGCCTAAAACAGATATTTCCTGAAAAGGTATCTCTCAATCCTGATTGGTTAATTGGAATGTTGTTCCAGGATCAACAAGGATGTTGATCCAGGAACATGTTGTACTTGGTGAAATCACGATCTCTGTGAAATGGGTGCTTCCAATGTTTCCAAATGGGTCAGGAAGATATGTTGCAGCACAGTCCCGAATGAAATGTCCACATCTGACTAACAGGGAACTGTAAGGGAACGTTCTGTTAACGTCCCAAATGTCCTCTTTGTAACGTTGCTATGTAACTTCCTGACCACCAGACTTTTGAATGGTAGTGTACATTATTCAAGTTTTATTCAGTCAGCACTGCAAAGTTGTATTTATTGCATTTACTGTACACAAAATTTTCAATCCATTTACATTTGAAAGTAGCCTTTTCAGGCATTACACTTGATCATATTTTGCGACTGAATAACATCTCAGTCCTCTAAACATCAGTATAACTGTGCTAAGTAGTGCGTGTAAAGAAAAAGCGTCATGACTGACCAGTCGTAAGAGCTTGAAGAAGTCTATGTTGGCATACAGCACGTCCTCGATGTTCTGCAGTCTTTGCTGGGAAAGGGCACACATGGCATTGCGGACCCCGTACAGCCCTCCATGGCTGGGGAAGATGAGGAATCGCTCCAGAAGAGCCTGACTGCAGGCGATCTCTTTCAGAGTCAGATCCGGGATTCCATATGCAAACTGGAAGCACAAGAGATGATTGTTGATAAAGACAAAGTTCATTCAGCATGTCCATGTTTTAGAAGAATTTGAAAAATCTTTTTGACTTTTGATTGCAAAGTTTGTTACCTTGGCAAACCTGAGCACAATGTGAAACATTGCAATACGTTTTTGACACTCTAGAGGACATATATGAGATTACTGGGGAATTTTTTTTTCTCAGACTTAATTATTTGGTTTTTTACCAAGGTTGCATTTATTTGATCAGAACAAAACCGGGACACTTTTTTTCAGGATTCTTTGGTTAACAGAAAATTCAAAAGAACAGCATTTATTTGAAATATAAATATTTTGTAACATCGCAAATATCCTTACTGTTATTTGATCAATTTAATAGGTTCTTGCTGAATATAATAAATAAATAACTTCCTGACCACCAGACTTTTGAATGGTAGTGTACATTATTCAAGTTTTATTCAGTCAGCACTGCAAAGTTGTATTTATTGCATTTACTGTACACAAAATTTTCAATCCATTTAAATTTGAAAGTAGCCTTTTCAGGCATTACACTTGATCATATTTTGCTACTGAATAACATCTCAGTCCTCTAAACATCAGTATAACTGTGCTAAGTAGTGCGTGTAAAGAAAAAGCGTCATGACTGACAAGTCGTAAGAGCTTGAAGAAGTCTATGTTGGCATACAGCACGTCCTCGATGTTCTGCAGTCTTTGCTGGGAAAGGGCACACATGGCATTGCGGACCCCGTACAGCCCTCCATGGCTGGGGAAGATGAGGAATCGCTCCAGAAGAGCCTGACTGCAGGCGATCTCTTTCAGAGTCAGATCCGGGATTCCATATGCAAACTGGAAGCACAAGAGATGATTGTTGATAAAGACAAAGTTCATTCAGCATGTCCATGTTTTAGAAGAATTTGAAAAATCTTTTTGACTTTTGATTGCAAAGTTTGTTACCTTGGCAAACCTGAGCACAATGTGAAACATTGCAATACGTTTTTGACACTCTAGAGGACATATATGAGATTACTGGGGAATTTTTTTTTCTCAGACTTAATTATTTGGTTATATTTGCTCTATATTTCACTCTCAGAAATAAAGGTACAAAAGTTGTCACTGGGGCGGTACCTTTACAAAAGGTATACTTTTGTACCTATTAGGTTCTAATATGTACACTTTAAGTACTAATGTGTACCTTTAAGATACCAAAATGGACCCTTTAGGTACAAATATGTACCTTTTGAAAAGGTACCGCCCCAGTGACAAATGTTGTACCTTTATTTCTGAGAGTGTTAATCCCATTGCTGTCTGGAAGAAAAAAAAGGATATTATCTCATATGTGTTTAAAAAACACAACTGTCTCAGCATGTTCTTACAGAAATAAGAAATAAATCTTTAGATGGTATAACACAGGGTTCCTCAAATCTTGCCCTGGAGGGCCAATGCGCTGCAGAGTTTAACTCCAACCCTGATCAAACTCACCTACCTATGATTTTCTAATGATCCTGAAGACATTGATTAGCATGCTCAGGTGTGTTTGATTAGGGTTAGAGCTAAACTCTGCAGGAAAGTGGATCTCATGGGCCAGATTTGAGGATCCCTGCCCTATACCATAATATAGTGCGCTATTTGAGGGAACAGCCATTTGTGGTGGTTTTATCGAATGCATTCACTAAATCCCACATTGTACTTCAATAATAAGCGTACAGCCAATGTACAATGAATGGCTAGCCGCTAGAGAATACCAATTTACTGTGAGCGTCAAGTCAAATTAATTCCTGTGTCTCACCAGAAGATGGCATCTGCAAAACAGCACATGTGTGTGTGTATTCGCAGTTTACCTCGGCAGCTCTTCCCATCTCTTTGCAGCATTCCTGTCACACAGCTGCACACAGCGCCTGTTACTTGACTTGTGCAGATCTGCTCACAGCCACCATTATCCTCTTCACACCAGTCTGAATCTAAAACACACATACACACACACTGTTATAGCTGCAGAGTTTAACTCCAACCCTGATCAAACTCACCTACCTATGATTTTCTAATGATCCTGAAGACATTGATTAGCATGCTCAGGTGTGTTTGATTAGGGTTAGAGCTAAACTCTGCAGGAAAGTGGATCTCATGGGCCAGTTTTGAGGATCCCTAAGATTTGTCCTGACTTATCAAAGTCAGACTTAAATTTGCATTGAAGAAATCTCTCAAATACAGACATTCGGAAATATCTCTATACATGATTTATTGTGTGTGTCGCAATACATTGACATGCACTTAGGAAAGTGTAGGATCACAGCAGCCTACTTAAGAGTGCTTGAATCAATGAGACAATGGGCTACACCAGGGTAGGCAAGTTCGGTCCTAGAGAGCCGCAGTCCTGCAGAGTTCAGCTCCAACCCTGAAAAAAAAACTCACCTGCCTATAGCCTTAGTAATCCAGAAGACATTGATTAGCTTGTTCAGGTGTGTTTGATTAGGGTTGGAGCTGAACTCTGCAGGACTGCGGCTCTCTAGGACCGAACTTGCCTACCCCTGGGCTACACCATAAATCAGTCTGTGTGTGAGAGGCTAGCGTGAAACAAAAGAAGACGTACGTCACGAAGACACTGACATACAAACTCAGGAAGGTCTCCTAGTGACTTTTAACACCACATGAACCCACTAGATTTAGCTGGAAACATCTAGTAAATCCCCATAGGAGTATTTGAGGATGTGACTGTGTGACAGGATTCTGCTTGCAGTGGAAGCTGTTAAAGCATTTATGAAAACAAATGTCTCACAAGAGAAGCAAGCTAATTTGTTGTTTTTAAAAAGAAGTAGCCTATAAAGCAAAATTTGCCATAACGTACTTGCTCCACCCGCACTTGTGCATTTGTAAGATCATACACCACCGCCTCTGAAAGCCCAGCGTCCCGCAGCAGGAATGACGTTAGACCCTCATCATCCTTCAGAATGTGCTCTACTTTTAGTCCTTTACCTGATGGCACAAAGGAAAGGACACGGAGGGAAATATATGATATATGGTGATTTTAAACAACAGTGTACTGTAAGGCTGTCAGCATGAGTACATGAAATAAAAAAAAAATAGCATCATACTGTCTGTCAGTAATGTTAACTCAATTTTTACATGTGAGTGTCTGTGCTAAACTCGCCTCTGTTTTAGTTGCTATGTTTTTATTGGTTAGGTGTAAGTCTAAGTCACATGGTTGTCAAGTTTGTTGCACAAACGGTAGAAAATATTTATTTCAAACAATAAAAAATGCTTTCTTAAACTAAATCCTTAAAAGTCTTTGCATGAGATGCAAGTAAACAAATACAAATATTCCCTTTTATGTGGCCTAGATACATGGCCACAATGGAAGAATGCATTCCACTCCTCCTTAAATGAAGCACTCTTAACACTGCAGCAGTGCACTGCCCAGCGTGTATAATGATTTTGACATATATTCATTTAGAGGACAAACTGTGCTGACAAAGTGCTTGAATGGATCACTTGATCACTGAATTCTTCATTGAAAGCTTTGTCGCTCAACAGTACTCTGTGCTGAAAGGTCTCAACATGGGAGTTGTGTGTGGAGAAAGTGCTGAAAGATTCAACTAACCAAAGGTGTTCAGAGATAAACTACAGGGCTTTCACTTTAGTTAACAACATAAGAAATATTTGGAAAATTTTTATCACGTGACATTTAAAAGATGTAAATGATGACGTGATGACATAGGACATGTCCCTGAATCAAAATCTAATGGTCCTAGAACATTTCTATCAATACTCCTGTCAAAAGTTTGTGGTCAGTAAGTTTTTTTTTTTAATGTTTTTTGGTTTGGTTTAGCCACATTAATTGATAAAAATTAGTCATTTACGTTGTTACACAAGATTTCAAATAAATGCTGTTCTTTTCAACTTTGTATTTTATTTTGTACTTTGTATTTATTAACGAATCCTGAAAAATGTTTTACAGTTTCCACAAAAACATTAAGCAGCACAAATGTTTACTATTTTTAAAAAAAAATAATAATAATAATTGAGCAACAAATCAGAATCATTTCTGAAGGATCATGTGACGGTGAAAACTGTGGCTGATCAATGGCTGTGAAAAATAAAAAACAGCTTCACAGGAATACATTACATTTTAAAATATATTACAACAGAAAACAGTTCTTTTAATATTTTACAACATTGCTCTTTTTATTGTGTTTTTGATCAAATACATGCAGCCTTGTTGAGTATATGAGACTTCCAAAAACACTAAAAATAAACTTCCTGACCCCAAACTTTTGAATGGTAGTGTGATTATATTAAAAAGAGCAACCAGGATATTTAACTAAATTTCACCTCATGTTCCACAGTAGGAAGTCATACAGGTTTGGTATGACATGAGAAATCATTTCCCTCTGATTTTATGTAACTCACTATATTTGAAAGGACAGATAAAATATGTTGATTTCAGAATGCGCCCTATTTGGAAAAATCACAATCACTGGACATTTTCCTAAAAATTCACTCCATATATAAAGAGAGATTTGGGTTCGCCCTCACACTAAGGACTAGTCATCGGCCCATTAGAGAGAGCAGGAAAAAGAAAACAAGCATGAGGGTAGTGGAAGTACAAGAGAGGAAATGTCCACTCTCTCCATCCATCATTCAGATCCATTAAAGTGGTCCCATCAGTTCCTCTGAGGGCCGGGTTAATGGGCCAGACAGCAGACGCTCCCCCTGCCCAACATACCTGCCACCAGCGCAGGATTGGTGCGCAGCGTCTCCATGAAGTTGTTCATGATGGTGGCTTCATGCCACAGACGGCCGAGCTGATGGAACTCAGTGTCGTTCAACAGCAGCTCCTGTGAATCTTGGTAAAATCGTGCCAGTCTAAGGAGGACAGAAAGAAATGAGTTACAACAATAAACTGGAACTTGGATTGGAGCTAACTTAGTCCATTAAAAAACAAACATTTCCCAACATTTTATGGTATGAATATGAATAGAAAAATCTATCTATTGGGATAAGACTAAATTTACAATCCCAACTGTTGGTTATCGAGCTGTTGTTACTCCTCTGCACTGGAAGAGTCATTTTTCCTCCAAACTGAATTGTGTCAGAGGTCTATCTCTGGACACCTACAACACGAAATGTGCAAGATAGGAACATTTTCCAGATTTGAGATGTGAAGGAGCATCTGACTCACATGGAGTTGTGGTAGTTGGAAACGACCCCAGGCAACTCTCCTCGAGTTTGATGACGAAAACATGGGTTATTAGCATTGCAGAAAATTCCTTGAAACCAAGGCAGGATTCCCGCTGAGGGCATAGCCTTGCTGGGAAAATGACCTTCATTTACAGATATGATGAGTAAGTCCTCAGACACGGCACACAGATGCTAATGAACTTTCAAGCTGTGATGTTTTCCTGAATACCATTATCAATATTTGGCTGAGAGTGTGAAATTGTACAACCAAAAGTAACTGTACTGTATTATGTATTCTTACATTCATGTTGGCGATACAGGGGATTGGCTCTTCGTAGCCACACAAGTCCAATGAATAAAAACACAGGCCACAGAATCTCAACCAGGAAGCGAATCTGTGTAAACATGACAAGATAACGGTACGTTCAGAAACGTGTCAAATCTGAACGTAGGATTGTAGCAATGTTGAAAACAACACTTTACAACAAAGTTCAAATTGCGTACATTATCATGAACTACCAGTAAACAGTACTTTTTTTTTTTTTTTACAGCATTTATGAATGTAGTTTACTGTGGATTTCTATAAATGTTAACATGTTTTTAACATTTCAAGTTGTACAAATAAATATACTACAACAATCTAACTCTACTCAAAAATTAAAATGCCAGAAACAAATACAATCAAGATGTAAACTGAAATCATATTTCTCGTGTCCCCTTCTTAATAATTATTGAATTAATTTATATGATTTATTATTTGATCAACACTCTCAGTTTCTGTTAATTAAATGAATGTCTTAAAATAAGCAGCTTTTTTAATAATTAACACAGAAATGCCAAAACATTTCTTAGTCTATAAGGGCCTAGATTGGTAAATGCTGTAATAAATTGTTGTTCCTTGTTATAATGCATTAATCTTAAAGAATTGAATAGGGATGCACAATAGCAACATTAACATTTTGGACAATATTGTAATTATTTTCATGTTATGACCAAGAACTGATAAATAGGCAACATTACAAAACTATACTGTTTTGTCTAAATCATTTGAAAACACTGAAAACTAAAGTACATTTGAATTTAAGCATCAACATTATAATGTACACTATGACAATTTGATATTTAGTTATTCATTTTAATATATAAATTAATATCTACTGATGCCATACTGTACATAATAATGTTGATCTCTACAAATACACACACACACACACACATTTAATAACAATGTAATAAATGAGTATTATGATTTAAAAGATTAACTTGGGAGATAAAATTTATGTTAGATGATGGCCAGGTAGCCTAACTGGAAAAATAGGCCAAATGTAAATTTAAATATCCAATATCAGCTGATAAAAATAATAATAATAATTTTAAAAAAAACTCTAACATCACCAAAAAAAAAAAAAAAATGTTGATTTGGTACCAATATATCAATGTATCATCCCTAGAATTAAACCATATTGTAACGTGTTTTTTCTAATGTTAAACAAATAAAAGAATCACACAAATGGTTTGAAAATACACTTTTTGAACACTCTCTCTTTTCAGCTTCAGAGTCTTACAGTATATTTGATCTTGTGTGGTACAGTATATGTCACACCTCATTGCCTAAATCCTGCACTCGGAACCAAATTTCTGAGGTTTGTATCACATGATATAAACAGAGTGTTCTAAATATAAACTGTTTTGAGGGTTTAGAAACTACAGCCCGTGATGATGATTGTTTTGTTTCCCAGTGAATCGGTTAATTGTACCTTTTGTCTCTTGCGGAGTGTCCAGTTCTTCCAGAGCAGCAGCCGGGTCTGGCTGCTGGTGTTCATGGCTCCAACTTAACCCCTTGTAGGGGTCAACAAGCTGCAACAGACCTGCCAACACATCACATACCTCACACTCACAATCAAACTGAAAGAAAAGTCGCAGAACTGGTGTACAGAATTTCAAGTGACAGATCATTCTTTAGAGCTTTACACATGTGGCCATGTAATCAGATTTCAGACAGCCAGTCTTCATTAATGAAAACAGCTGTTTTAGAGAAATGTAGCTTGGAGACTTTGTTTGTTAGTCATGTGAAATTGTGTCACAAATCTTTACAGGAAAATATGGGGCTAGCATTGAACCACTGAACTATTTTGAGCCACAGCAAGGATTACTACAGCAAGAGCAAAACAGCACAGCAGTCACAGACAGGGCTGTTATTATGTCTGTTAGACGTCTAATTTTCCACAGTAATCTTTTAACACAAACACTGATTAACGCTCTTTCAGTTCAGATTCAGATGCAAATGTATAATATTACAGAGTGACAGACATATTGCACAGACTCTTGATCTTAATAGTTACATGAATACGAAATAATTAAAAACATACCATGATTTTAGGTATAACATGCATATATATTAAACCTTCGTGGATGAACAGTACTGTTCATTTTGGGGATTTTTTTATGTTTTTGAAAGTCTCTTGTTCTCACCAAAGTTGCATTTATTTGATCAAAAATACAGTAAAAACTGTAAAATTGTGAAAAAAAATATTACAATGTAAAATAACTGTTTTCTATTTTAATAGATTTTAAAATGTAATTTATTCCTGTATTGGCAAATCTGAATTTTCAGCAGCCATTAATCCAGTCCTCAGTGTCACATGATCCTTCAGAAATCAGTCTAATATGCTGATTTTGCACTCAGGAAACATTTATTATTATTATCAATGTTGGAAACAGTTGAGCTGCTTAATCTTTTGTGGGAACCATGACATTTTTCAGGATCCTTTGAAAAATAGAAGGTTCAAAAGAATAGCATTTATTTGAAATAGGAATCTTTAGTAACATAAATGCCTTTACTGTCACTTTTGATTAAACTGCTGAATAATTACGTGAAATAAATAAATACATTCATTTATATAAAATAAAATAAAATCTTTCTGACCCCAAGTTTTTGAATGATAGTGACTAAACAAACCACTACTTAAATTGGGAACACTTGATATTGGGGAACATATTTTCACTATTAAATTTTCCATCAATGAACTCATAATTTGCTGCTTATTGATAGCAAGTACGATAGTTGTAGTAGTAGTTATGTTTAGTTATTGGGTAGGGTTAAGGGATCTAGAATATGGTCTTGCAGAATAAGACATTAATTTGTGCTTTATAAGTACTGATAAACAGTCAACATGCTAGTAGGATGCCTGCTAATAAGAAACTAGTTAATAGAGAACAGTGTTCCCTAATCTAGTGTTACCCTTAAATCAAATGGTATACTTACCTCAGTGCTGAAAAAATATGAGTTCCTTAACATTCACACAGAAATGTACATAATTACAGTCCATGATAGTCGCAGAAACGCAACAGCCAAATTTACTGCTCCTGACTGACTCAACTAATCTGATTGCCTTAATCTGCAGGGTTAACATTGGCATCAGCAAAGCCCTCCAGTCTGACATGGCTACTGTTTATTTACATACATGTGGGAGATTGGCAAGGCATTAAGGGATATTGAGGATGTGTGTTGTTATAGTATGTATTCTGGACATTTAGAGCTTGTGTGTTATATTTGATGTGTTCTGTTTGTGTGTTTGTTGGATGAGTCAGAGCTGAGCAGCTCAGTGCTGGAGCTCAGGTGACGTGGCTAATTAGGGATGAGGAGGGACAGAGCCTGTCATGGACAGTTTCAGCCAAACAGATCCACAGGGAGGGAGGACATTAGGCAAGAATGCCCTCTGCAATCAGGACACTGAATAGAAAGTGTGGCCTCCCCCTGAAATAACCTCTGACATGAAGTATTGAACATGCTCACCTGATTGCATCATTATAAATGGTATTTAAATGTACTCATTTTAATCAGTAGTGCTTGATAAGGCAGGAATCTGTTACTGTAATTTTTTTTTTTTTTAGGTTTTAAAGGGATAGTTCACCCAAAAATTACAATTCTGTCATGAATTACTCACCCTCATGCCGTTCCAAACCCGTAAGACTTTCGTTCATCTTCGGAACACAAATGAAAATATTTTTGATGAAATCTGAGAGCTTTCTGACCCTGCGTAGACAGCAAGGGAACTACCATGTTCAAGGCCCAGAAAGGTAGAAAGGACATCGTTAAAATAGTCCATGTGACATCCGTAGTTCAACCTTAATTTTATGAAGCTACAAGAATACTTTTTGTGCGCAAAGAAAACAAAACTCATGTTCTGATGTAGAACACAGATGTGCTGCACCTTGTTTACAAGCAGAGCAATGCACACGCATTGTGTTGCTGTCTATGCAGGGTCAGAAAGCTCTCGGATTTCATCAAAAATATCTTCATTTGTGTTCCAAAGATGAACGAAGGTCTTATGGGTTTGAAACGACATGAGGGTGAGTAATTCATGTCAGAATTTTAAACATTTAAACATAATTCTACCACACTGTTTGGCTCAAAATGTGGGGTTTTTTTTTTTTTTTTTTTTTTTTTTGAAAAGAGGTGTGCTATTACTTATAGTGATCAAATATACACTTTTTACCTGGAAGATAAAAAATGGGAAAGGAAATCATGGTGCAGAAGTCATTATAGTATAATTTCTATACTATTTATTAATATTCTGAATGAGCTTTTATTTTTATATTTTCAGATATCATTTAAATTTTTGTTTACATCTTAGTAATTTTGTAGTGTTTTTATATTTCTATATCTTTTAAACAAATAAAATATTAAACTATTACTTTATTAACATTACTATTGACCTTTAAATAAATTTGATTCAGTTTTAGTCCTTTTTTATTTCAGTAACTTTCTTTAAATTTTTCTTAATTCATTTTTCATCTAATCTTTATATTTTATTTCAGCTGCATTTTAATTAACGCAAACAATTTATAATAGTTTTAGTTTGTTAACAATAACAAAACTGGGAGGGACTCGCGCACTATAGTGACAACAATATCATACATATTCAGTAATGACTTTTACTTTTTTTTCTTGTAATGTTTTTTTTTTTTATTTGTCCCAGAAATAAACCACCTAGCAACCACCAAAAAACCTAGCCACTGCATAGCAACATGCTAGCAAGCACTTCAAACACCTTAGCGATCACATTTTGTCTTAAAGGGTCATATGATGCGATTTAAATTTTTCCTTTCTCTTTGGAGTGTTACAAGCTCTTGGTGCATAAAGAAGATCTGTAAAGTTGCAAACACTAAAGTCTCAAATCCAAAGAGATATTCTTTATAAAAGTTAAGAGTCAGCCACGCCTACCTAAAACGGCTCGTTCTAACACGCCCCCCGTGGACGAAGCGGAGTCCAGCCCAGGGTCATCACATGTAGTTGCCGCAAGCCCACCGGCCGCTCCTTCTTCGAATCCACCAGCCTCCGCTCACTCAAGCCCGCCGTCTGTGACGCTGTGTGTTTCGTTGTGAAAGCGAAACTACTTTGTTTGGCCTTCCAAAAGAGGACTGTTCTTTTTAGCAATATCATATGACCCCTTTAATCCACGTGTACTTGTGAAAAGACAAAACAGAGAAGAAAAAAAGAGCAGAAAATAGTTTTAACTAAATATTTAATCTGCAAACATTTTGCTTGTCTTCAAGAATTGTTGGTATAGATGTATGCTTATGGCAGCAGGTTATGTGTAAACAAATGCTTATATAACTGAAATAAAACAGAAACAGATGCACTTACACAGCCTAAAACACACATAAGCAGGAGTGTTTCCAAGAGACAAGCTATAAAACAAATATAACAGCCGGCAGCAACTGTATTACATCATGCGAGGGCAGTGATCATGCGGTGCCACAGCACTGAATGCATGTTAAACAGTTAGACTTAGCATGTGCATCAAAATGAGCAATGGGCATAAATTTACAGACAATACTATACACATTCCTGTTGAGTTTATACAATTATTACACAGAACTCTTAACTTTAATAACATTAATATAGCTGATTATTTACTGATATAGAAGTGTCTCTTGAAACCTCATCTTATCACAGTGAAGGAGATAATAAGAATAAGACACATTTGGCATGAACGTTCAGAAACAATATCCGAAAAGAACATAAAAGAGTGCTCACTTATGGATAACCGAATGTCACAAATGTTTTGGACCTCTGCTGATATTTCTGGCTCAAACAGTAGCTTAAAGAGACATTAACAAACAGCTATCCAGAAAATTTCATGGAGATGTTTCACCTCTCTCCTAATATGTTTGCCCTTTCTCAAAGGGATATTAAAACAACTTTCATATATACAGTATGGCACAAAAAAAGACAGCTTACATACAAATACATACATATAAAGCCGTAGACGGATCTACTAGACTGTGGAGGAATGTGGAGGAATCAGTCACTTTCTGAGTGTCACATATAGGATACTATACCAAGCATGATAAAATCTGCAACAGATCCGTCCAGGAGGGAATTTATTTATTTTTAAACAAAATGGGCCTCTCTTTGCTCTAGCTCCTGCATATGGCGATTGCGCCTCTGATAGAGAGGTTTGGAGTCCGTAGGGCTGAGTTCCTCTGCACTGGAGCTTGGAGACTGAGGCGGAGAGAGAGTGACGGGGCTGATTGAGTCGCTCTCTGACAGTCCTTCCTCTGCTCCTCCTGTAAAAGTCTGCTTGGCCGTTAGAGCGATAGTCACTGATGTTGTTGGTGTGGTTGGGGGAGTCGTGACTGCTGTGGAGACTGTCGTAACTGTTGATGTGGCCGCTGTTGTAAATATGGTAATGGCTGTTGTGTATACAGCTCCTGTGGTAGTGGTTGATGCTGTCGAAACGGTTTTTGCCAGCGAGTCAAATGTCCTGATTTGGCTTACTGATGGAGGCCTATAGAACGTTCCAGGAGGGGGTTTTAGTGTCCGTGGCGCTCGGAAGGATATTGGAGCCCCTCCGGACTGGCTTGTAGCATCTTTTCTATTGGCGCTGCTTTGGGGTACAACGCTAATCTCTGCCGGTTTTGGCACACCAGAGGATGGCAGGTTGGCCACTATCATTGCAGTTCTGGGCGTCACATCATAATGCCTGTACTGTCTGTCCCAGGTCCTCCTCAGCGTCTGAGTGTCGATGAATGGGTTCCTGTAGTAGCTGGTGAGGCGTGGTGTTGAAGGCTTCTCCGGTTCGGTGGTCTCCTGAATGGCGGCCGGCGAGTGTTCACGCTCCTCTGTGTTGCGACTGTTGCGCTCGTTGAGCAGTCTCTCCACAGGCATGCTGATGGGTCGAGACACTGGCTTGGAGCGCTGAGGACGTAGTTGCACCCCTCGGCTGCTGGCACTCGGCTGGCTGAACACAGATGTGGACTTCTGCATGTCCACAGGAGCTGAGCCAACCCCATTGACATCTGAGCCATCACCTGCTGGAGAGAAAAATACTTTTGAATTTAATTTATACAAATTAAAAGAGACATCAAAAAATGACTCTCGATAACCTAATGCATTCAAAATATGCATCATTTTTTTTGCATTTCCAGGTCAGTTTTGACCCAGTGGAACAAAACCTTATCAAACAGTCAAAACTTCATATTTTTCAACTAAAACCATATTCATGAGTTTTGAATGTTATTGTGGTATTAATGTGTTATTACTACATTACACATTTTTATTAATTAAAAATTCTGAAGTTCTTTGAAATTTCAACTTTTACATAAACTACAGAAAAACCACTGATACAAGAAAATCTTTAGATGAAATTTATAAGAACATATCATCTGAGAATTACCACAGAGGCTTAAACCTAGTCCCAGACTAAAATGCATGTCTGTTCTGTTCTGTAGGAAACTTACACTGACATATCTTAAAAGAATGTTATTACTGTTGATTTGTCTAAAGATGCACACCAGTAATGTTTTCTCTAAGGCACGTTTATAAAAGATATTTAAATGTCCTAATTGAACTATGGCCTAATCCTGGCTTAACCTAAGCCCTGTCTGTGAAACCATGCCTTAATGAACTTCCTTCAAACTTATAACTAATGACTACTCAAAACAGTCCACATTTATAAAAACCTACATTTTGTTTTGTTTTTTTACAAAACAACATCAAAATTACCCGAGAATGTTTTCAAAACAAATATGTTAATTTTCCGTGCATAAACTTTCACTTTCAGATGAAAAACATGATCTATTCTTTCACGTTGACTTTAAAACCAAAGATGAGTAGAAACAATCATACTGACCAGGTGTTTGCACTTTATCATCCCCTGTCTTCATCTCCTTTACTTCTTCCATCAGCTGTGCAGATGTAATCACAGACGAGTGTCTCTTGTAGGCTTTTGCACTCTGTATGAAGAATAAACAGATCAGAAATCATAAACTAATATTTCCTTAAAAAAGTCTAGCTTGCAATCTCTGGCCCATCTCACCTCTTTGATATCCAGGAGAGATCTGGAGTGACGGCTGAGTGCTGGCTGTGGTGCTGTCGGACTGGTGGGAGAC